TTTTTATTTTTTTTTTTTTGCTATTTTTGCATTTCATTCTATAACAATAAATAAATAAATAATATGAAAAAAATGAAATGGAGGACAGAAATTGAGGTCGGCACGCGTGTTAATTACCGGTGGCGGGACGGAAAATACCACCCCGTCAAGGTTATCGAACGCCGGAAGCTTTCTGACGATGGAACAAACGATTATGAGTACTACGTTCACTACACAGAACGTGAAGGTTCGTGTTTTATTCGTTTTGTGTACATTTATGGTTCAGGATTAGGGTTAATTTGATGAGAGTTATATCAACGAATTACAATAGTAATTAGGAATTGCAATGATCTCTGTTGATGATGGAAGAATTTTTTATGCTCGCCGGTGTCTGCGTCCACCTGTGTACTGGGCTTTTGCCATCTAGCTTGTTGAGCATTTATGCAACTGTGAAATGACTCGTTTCATCATCCTTTTTTATCTTAAGTACTGTGTATTGTGGTGTTTGTCCTTTCTATTTCCTTGTTGTGGTCCATGAAATACTTGCTAAAATTTGAACATTTGAGTGATGGAATGTTTTGCTGATGTTTTTGGATGATGATAATTGTTCCGACTGTGAAAGTTAATACCATTGTTGTATATGTGCTTATTTCGTTGGACAGTTAACCGTGGACTCGATGAACGGGTTAAACTGGAACAACTGGATCTCGATTCTGTAGAAACGAATGTGGATGACAAGGTTGAGGACAAGGTAACATTTTCTTCACTTCCTGCTATCACATATATAATATTCTTCGTTTCTGCAAGTCTAATTTGTCGTTTGGTTGTTACATGACAAAGAGATTTCCATTTGAAAAAAAAAAAAAAAAATCTTATTTGCACCTCATGCCTTGCCCTTCATATGACATATGATAACATTTGCTATTTCAGGCAACTAGCTTGAAAATGACACGGCATCAGAAGCGTAAGATTGACGAGACACATGTGGAGGTAATCCTTGTTCAGTTTGTTTGATCACCAAAAAGTTGATTGAATATCTGTTGTATTAAGTGTGTCATTGTTGTTGCCACTTGCCGGTCATGACATTGATAGAACTTGAATCACAGGATCTTGTATGTAAAGTTGTTGAAATAGATTTTAAGTATTTTCTCTTCAAATGGCTCATCAAAGTTGTATTGGATGCTTAAAGGGTGGTGTTTTGAGTTATTCAGCGTCATGAAGAGCTTGATGCGGCTATCTTGCGAGAACACGAAGAATTTACAAAAGTGAAAATATTGCCACCAAAGAGCTTGGTAGATATGAGATCGAGACTTGGTATTTTTCGCCCTTTCCTCCAGAATACAATGACTGTACCATGCTGTTCTTCTGTGAATTTGTCTGAGCTTCATGAAGCGCAAAGAGCAACTGCAGAGGCACATGGTGAGATCCTGTCCTTGTTCCTTTCATCTGTTTCCTTACACTGCGTGGTCCTTTAATGGACTTTGGTTCTATTAAAAGTTTATTTGTGACATATATGAATCAGTGTAAGTAAGGTTAGCTATTTATTTCTCTGATTAATAGTTTAATTTGTTGTTTGTCTCCTATTCTTTTATATAAATTGCTTGCAATGCCTGGTGGTTAAAGTATTACTTTTGTTATCTGCAGAGGAAATGTGATCTCAAGCATCCCCCTGGTGATGAGATCTACCGAAATGGAACCTTGTCAATGTTTGAGGTAAAGTTTTGCATTAAGTTGATTCACCAAATTCTTGTCTTCTTTTATTTACCATTCATAGTTTGTGAAAGTTTGTCTGGTCGCCATTTGATTCGGATGCTCAATGTTCTGGAGAGACATTCTAGTATCTGATAAAGTGTCATCTAAAATATGAATTTTATGGACATGTTGATGGGAAAAAGAATAAGGTTTATGGGCAAAATCCTTTGTTACCTGGCCAAGTTGTTTCTTGATCACAAGACCCTGTACTATGATGTTGATCTATTTCTGTTCTATGTGTTGTGTGAATGAGGATGCCACATGGTTGGCTACTTCTCAAAGGTAATTGTTATCGTTTATTGTTGGTTGTATCTTTTGTTGCCTATTGGTATTTATGGTCCCCAAGTTCAAGAAAAGAATTAAATTTTGAGGACAAGCGCCATTCGGTGGTATTGCCTTATCCACCATATTTAAACTTAAGATCGTTGCATCAGTTCTATATTTTAGCCTTAGGTGAAATTATACATGCACATGGGTAGTTTCTTTTGCAAGCTATTTTGGCGATGAGCAATGCCACTTAAGTTTATTTCTACACAATATTATTTCCACTCACACTGTTGCCATTTTTGACTTTTTAAGAGTATTATTACTTGACAAGTCATCAGGATTAATGATTTTCTTTTCTTTTCCCCCTAGCTTTTCTTGGATTGATATGCGGGAGAAACATTCGGAGGAATCCTACAATTTAGCTTGCATTCTTACTCTTCCTTCTTATCAGAGAAAAGGCTATGGGAAATTCCTCATTGCTTTCTGTGAGATTTTATTTACCATCCTCCGGTGGTTCTATCGTATTGAATAAAATTGTTATTTCTTATTTGCAAATACATGTATGACATTTGGCTTTGGTTTTTGGGGTGGGAACAAAATTCATGCAAATATATTTATTGGTCTCATAAGTTGTCAAAATTGGAGGATAAAGTAGCCTTTCTTTCATTATGGAGAATTTCATTGTAACTTTAGAGTGGAAAATAACTACTTGATTTGTGAAATTGGAGTAAACTTTTTTTTTTTTCTTTTCTTTCAAATTGGAGGAAACTCGAGTATTTTGTATTTGGGAGGCATTAGAGCTTCAAACTTCCAATAAAAGAATTAAAAGCTAGGCTACTTGCATATGCAATGTTATCCTTTTATAGAAAAGACTTCATACTAAGAATTGCTTAACACAAGTCCAAACAATCTTGCAGCTTATGAGCTTTCCAAGAAAGAAGGTAAATTTGGGACACCAGAACGGCCCCTCTCAGAC